GCTGTGACTGTGCTCCAAACTTAACTATGATTTTCAGAGAGAAACGTTGGGTGGTTTACTTCCTATGGTTCACTTTGTATATAGAGAGATGTTGCGCGGCCACGTAAGCAGCCACGCGGTTTTGAGGAAAAGTCCTAGTTCCCGCATACTCGAGCTGTGCTTGTAGAGGCTTCTGGTCACCGGGGTTCCATCTGGGGGAGGCGGGATGCGGCACCTACCCCATCTGGGACTTGCTGGTGATCTCGGCTCTTTTTGGAACCTGTTTTTTTTTTTTCCTCTGGGATCTGTGGTTCCCGCGCCCTCCATGTGGTCCTTCTCTTAGGCTGTATGTTTTAAAGATGGCGCTGGGGGGCGGGCTGTGGGCGTGACTTCCAGAATCAGAGGTTACCTGGGAGCTGTAGTCCGGCAGATTTGAGAAAAAGTCCTAGTTCCCGCATACTCAAGCTGTGCTTGTAGAGGCTTCTGGTCACCGGGTTTCCATCTGGGGGAGGCGGGATGCGGCACCTACCCCATCTGGGACTTGCTGGTGATCTCGGCTCTTTTTGGAACCTGTTTTTTTTTTCTTCCTCTGGGATCTGTGGTTCCCGCGCCCTCCATGTGGTCCTTCCATCAGATAATTTTTATTATGGAACTATGATGACTGAGACTACGACCAAAACTATGACTACCATTGTGCTATAAGGGAGAGATCAGACTAAGTTGGGGAGGAGAGAGAAATAAACTGACTGATCAGCCTGGGATCCAGTCCCTGTTTCTCTGTTCCCCAGGTCCTTCTGTTGCTGTCACCCGGCCTGGAGAGGCAGCTCTTGGCCTCTGAACACTTGAGTCCTACACATGCACCCACACTTTTCTTTGAAATTCTCAATACAGGAATGAAGATAGACTCGTATACCAATGGAAAAGAATTGATTGTTTAGAGACAGATCCTCAGGTATGTGGACAAAGGATATAAGTTTATGAAGAAGAGCAAGAAAAGTTTCTTCAACAAATGGTATTTGGGAAACTGGTTAGCTACTGGCAAAACAAACCAAAATGAACATATATTCTATCTTACATCATACACAAAATTTTATTCAAAGTCGATCAAAAACTGTTATACCTGAATACATAAATTATAAGAAAATCATGCATAACTCTTTATGACATTGACTATAAAGGCATCTTCAATGACTTGATGCCATTGGTCAAGCAAACAAAAGCAAAAATATTCAAACAGGATTACATCAAATTAAGGAGCAATACATTGCAAAAGAAACGATAAGTAGAATAAAAGGACAAACCCACAAACTGGGAGAAAATATTTTCTCACCACACAGTCCAAAGGGCTAGTAGCCAAGATATAGAAAGCACTTGACAAATAACCAATAACTCCACCAAAAAAAGGGAAGAAGGGCTAAACTCACTCCAATTTTTCCTTTTTTGAATAAAAGTGAAATACACAGTTACAAAGTTGCTCATAATTGGGTTACAGTCATATAATGTTCAAACAGCCATCCCTTCACCAGTGTATATTTCCCAAGACCAATGTCCCCAATTTCTCTCCTCTCACCCTCTCACTGCCTGTCTTTATGGCAGGCATTTTCCTCTTCTTTCTCGCTCTCTGTCCTCACACCAGTGGTACTGGCACACAGCAGAAGGCATAGTAACAGTGCTGACAAGGATGTAGGGAAAAAGGGACTCTCACCACTGTTGGTGGAAATGTCAACTATTTCAACCTTTATGGCAGCTTCTCAAGAAGAAGACGAAGGAGGAGGAGGAGGAAGAGGAAGAGAAAGGAGGAGGAGGAGGAGGAGGAGGAGGAGGAGGAGGAGGAAGAAGAAGAAGAAGAAGACGAAGAAGAAGAAGAAGAAGAAGAAGAAGAAGAAGAAGAAGAAGAAGAAGAAGAAGAAGAAGAATTAAGCTTCTGTACAACCCAGCAGTTTCACTCCTTTGTATTAATCCCAATGTCCTCAATACACAATTTTGAAAGGATATTTGGATTCCTATATTTATTATTGCACTATTCTCAGTAGTCAAGATCTAGAAATAATCTGAGGGCCCAAGATTGCGAGTGGATAAAAAATAGGCATATATCTGCACTGCAATAAGAAATGATAAATTTATGCAATTTTCCACTACATATATAGAACTAGAGGGTATCATATCAGTCAGAGGAAGAGGGACAAATACAGAAAGATTTCTGTCCTATGTAGAATGTAAAGAAACATGGTAACGGAATAACAAATGGCCAAAGACAACAGAACCTGAGTTTGTCTACAAAACTGAGCTTATCAAGAGAGCCAAGGGTGCATGGGGTCCTTAGGACATTGGTGGAGAGATACTGTAACTCTTGTGGAGGGTGTGGTGGTGGAATGTTGTATGCATGAAGCTCTATCATCAACATTATTGTAAATCTCAGTGGCCTGAACAAAATTGGAAAAACAAACCCAAAAATGTATTATTATAGTTCCAAGGGATGATTTTGTTTGAGTTTGGTTGTTTCTCAGATCCTGTTATGCAGTGGCAGTCACATGGCATCTGAAAGCACGAACTTATTTATGTTAAGAGCGGATAATGAGAAAGTCGTGACTGTCTACTAGGATAGCTACAGGCAACATTCTGTTATGACTTGGGCTTCTCACAATATCAGAGCTAGGTTCAGAGGGAACATTCCAGAGTGGAGGTACTAAAAGCCACATGGCAGCTAAAGTTGTTAAGAGTTATGCATTGGAAGTAGCAAAGCAACACTTCCGCCATACTCGTTTGGTTAAAACAGATCATGTGATTTTTAGTTTTGAACAAATTACCCTTGAAGAGTTTGAGTAACAGAGTCATATCCATCAATCTAACGTATAATCTATTGATGATTTTTGAAAGCCATTTAGCAATATCTGCTTTACTATGACTTGAGTTACCACTATTAGGTTAATGTTCACATAGCTTAGTTTGCTCTTTCAATTTGCCATTGAATACTTTTATCTTATTTTTAAAAAATTTTGGAGGAATAAAAGGAATTCCTTTAATAAACATTAATAAACCACTTCATTGAATGTCAAGAAAGGCAGTTCCCATTGGCAAAGAGACCTTTAGCTTCATTGAGATGCATTAATTTAGATGGAAAAAAGATGCTTATTTTAGTTTTACAAACATCAATGTGGGTTATGTGGTAATTACTTAAAAGAGCAGGATAACAATTCATGCAATCAGCAGGACCCTATAATTACAATGCATAATTTTAAATAGAATTTAGCAAAATGAGCCCATACATAGAATTTTTTAATGAAAAAGATGTGCTTGACACCACACTAAATTAAATATAAAATTTGCATATGTTCCTTTTTTTTTTACTAGGGGATACATTAGCTTAATCTGTTTTATCTTACTTCACTAATCCTCTATTTCTAGCTCAGGTATGGGGTCAGGTAAAGAACATGCTGATTCACACTCAGGTTGAATGGACACAAGAATCAGAATCAGGAGTAGAGACAGAGAATGTGTCAGTGGGCTAAGTGCATCTTTGCTTATCGGTGTTGATCTCTGATTCTGCAATACATGAGAGTAGTAGCCCTTACATAACCTGGTGCTTACCCTCCATCCCCCAGCAAAACAAACAAATAAGAAGAACTAGTGAGAAAAGATTCCCTTTCTGTTGTCTAGAATGATCCAACATCATTCTAAGAAGTGATTCTGAAAGTTACAATAAGACAACTTGTTTTCACTGAAAGTTTAATATAAATGTGATGCAATCATTTAATTTAGAATATGAATACTGGCAGAAAACAGAAACATTTTCTGTACTTGGGGCTTTTGGGGTGGGTGGGAAAGGGAATTGAATGAAAAATAAAAACAAATTTAAATATCTAAAGATAGAGTGGCATTTTGGAGAAACAAAATAATCAATGCTAGGAATATAAAGTACAAAAAGATGCTGATTATCATACTGTTGTATAATATGTTTGAGATTGCTACAAGAGTAGATACTAAAAGTACTCATTTCAATGCAAGAACTTTTTATAAGGTGTTGGATGCTAACAGAATTTGTGGTAATCATTTAACAAAATATATGAGTCAAATCATTATACTATACACCATAAACTGACATAGGGTCTTTTTTGAAAATGTAAACTTCAGGTGTTTTTAGTTTTAAGAAACTTTAAAAAAATGTCACTGTGATTCATGATACTGTCAAACCCAATTTTAAGCCTTTAATGTTTCAACTCCAGCCCCACAGGTCAGCATCCTTCCACCAATGCCCCCATGTATAAATTATATCTCAATAAGACAGAAGGAAAATAAGATTAAAATAAAAAAAAAAGTTTACACTATCTTTTTGTTAAAGACAGAACAAAGAGGTAAAATATGACTTCTGTGGCTCCAAGCAGCTGAAAGTACAAGAGTATATTTACTCAGTTAATCCCTATCCTGGGCTGGAGCAATAGCACAGTGGTAGGGCCCTTGCCTTGCACGCAGCCAACATAGCCAACCCGAGTTCGATTCCTCCGCCCCTTTCAGAGAGCCCGGCAAGCCGAGAGTATCTTGCCTGCATGGCAAAGCCTGGCAAGCTACCCCTAGCGTATTCAATATGCCAAACACAGTAACAGTTGTCACAATGGAGACATTACTGGGCCCGCTCAAGCAAATCGATGAACAACGGGAGGACAGTGACAGTGACAGTGACAATCCCTATCCTATGTAAAATGTATCCCACTATCCCATTACACGTGTACAAAAGTTAATGTTAGACAAGTCACATACTGCATTAGACTGGGAAGACTTAAGGACGCCGTGGTAAATATTGTGGTAAACACTTGAAAATTATGTGGACATTTGCATTACTTACAGATTTTGAATAGTAGTATGTAGAAATAGCAGCAGAATATAATAGAATATAGCAAGGTCTCTCAGAGGTAATTTTTGTCCTCCACATTAAATTGAGGATCAGTTACTTAGATTCTCTTTTTGAAAGTCCACCGATGAAATTATAAACCTCAATAAATTATGAATGAATACTGAATTCTTACCTGCAGTTCCTGAATTCATATCAAGAGGGTTACTGTTCTCATCTTCAAAGCTCAGGACCTGAGACATCAAAATGTGTAATATCTTTAGAAACGTTTTAATAAATTCATTTTATTTAGTGTAACAAGTCTCACAATATTACTGAACTGGACCCACTCGAGCAAATCAATGAACAACAGGAGGGCATGACAGTGACAGTGATTTTATTTAGCAAATATATAGTGAGGGCATACTAGCTACTACTAAGACATAAGCATGATTTTTGAGCTCAAATAGTATAAGCTCACCATGACAGGGATATTTAAAATTGGTGGTACTGTGGTCATGGTGGAGGGAAGTCGGCACTCTGGTGGGGGTGTGATGTTGGAAACTGTATACGTGAAACCCTATCACAAACAGTACTATAAATCACAGTGCCTAAAATTTAAAAGAAAAAAACTAACAAAACAATTTATAATCTGCTGCAGTAAGGTCACAGGTCAAAATACTTATGTTAAAGATTCAAAGAACTGGAGAGATAGTGTAGCAGGGAGGGCATTTGCCTTGCATGCAGGTGACAGTTTAATCCCCAGAATCTCCTATGGTCCCCTGAGCCCCACGACGAGCAATCCCTGAGCACAGAGTCAGGAGATAGGCCTGAGCACTGCTGGGTTTGCCCTTCTAGCCCCCTCAAAAAAATTTAAAAAACTAAGGGCATTCAGGAGAGGGAAGGAACAAATCATTTCTGAATGAGAGGTATAAGGATCCTGCCTGGAAGACATCACTTAATCACTTAATCACTTAATCCCCGTTATTCAGCGATTTATTCGAGCGGGTGCCAGTAATGTCTCCATTCATCCCGGTTGTGTGCTAGCATAGCCCAATGGTATCTGTTCGTTCTAGGAACATGCAGAGCCTCAAACCGATCATTGGTGGTACTGTGGAGTACTGGAAGACATAGCATTTAAATTGAACTAAAATTAAAGTACTATGCTAGGATATTCTTACCCCCAGGAGTTTTTAAGTCTATTTGGAGACCGTCTTTAATATATTCCCATATTTAATTTTAGCTAAGGAATTTGCAATGTGGTAAATTTGTGGAGAATAATTCAGAAAATTATAACTATCTCCCTACAGGATAGCTGCTATGTAAGGTTTAGACAACCTTATAAAATGAAAACAATATTTCATTTCTAAGTTAATAGAGTAGAATTCCTACATAAATTTTTCCTAGAAATTCATAAATTTCTTGATGGCAATAAGGTCACTTTTGTAGCAAAATAATAACTGTTTCCTCAAAAATAATATATTATAGAAACAAATATAGAGCATGAAGATCAGGAATACTAACTATTAATATTTTTGAATGTTTATGTCCAGGTTTTCCTTTTAGTACATTTATTTTGGATATAGTTATTTAGTCAGTTTTCACACAAAAAAAAATTAGAGGAAGAACTTTGTTTCGACATCATAAATTTCTTCAAGAACATTATCTTTAATGACTGCACAATAGGCCATATTTTAAAGGTACATTAATTTACTTAATGAGTCTTCCAGTGTTGAAATGTTTTCTAAATATTGCAATTTTTAATCTAACATTGAGATGAGAATCCTTGTACAGAAATCTATTTCTACATGTCAAATGTTTTAAACATTATAGAACATATGCTCCAGAATATTTAACTTAGGGATAAAAAGAAAACCATTACGATAGCTCAGCAATACATCATCATTTCATTTCATCATTTCATCCTGTTATTCGTCGATTGCCTCGAGCAGGCCCCAGTAACGTCTCTTTCATCCTAACACTGAGATTATATTCAAGGCTCTTTAGGAGAATGAGACCCATCATTGTTACTGGAATTTGGTATATTTGGTACGCCACGGGGAGTTTGCCAGACTCTGCCATGTGGGCAGGCTACATTTGATAGCCTGCAAGTTTGTCCAAAGTAGGAATGAGATGATAATATGTCATAAAAGATGTCCTGATAAGATGCGGTTCCGGGAGCTGGATTTTATAGTCTCTGAGTCTTGGCCGTTGATGGGATTACACGGCGCCAGGGGGCTCAGCAATACAAAAAGTATTAATTAAAAAGTCCTCCATTTCTTTTACATACAAGTGGTACTACATGAAAAGTATCATGCAAAGTGAAATGAGTCAGAAAGAGAGGGACAGACATAGAATTCAGATATACATTCATCTGGGGAACATAAAGTAACAAAATAGGAGACTAACACTCAAGAATAGCCAAGATAAGTACCAGGAGGTTCACTCCATGGCTTGGAGGCGAGCTGCACATGCTAGGGGAAAAGGCAGCTCAGATAGAGAAGGGAGCACCAAATAAAGGGTGTTAGGAGAATCCTCCCAGGATGGGAGAAGCATGCTGAAAGTAGATTATAGACCAAACATGATTGCCACTCAATGCCTCTTTTGCAAACCACAGCACCCAAAAGGAGAGAGAGAACAAAAGGGAATGCCCTATCTCAGAGGAAGGGTGAGATGGGGGAGATGGGAGTTGGGAGGGCTACTGGGATCAGTGGTGGTGGAGAATGGGCACTGGTGGAGGGATGGGTACTCGATCATTGTATAACTGAAACTCGAGCACAAAAATTTGTAAGTCTACAACGGTACCTCATGGTGTTTCGCTAACAAATTTTTTTTAAAAATTCCTCCATTTCTTTTGATTGAAGAAGTTAGTGCCTATTTGTAATTACTCAGATATATTTCTTGACACTGGCTGTCTGCTTGTTTGGTTGGTTTTTGGGCCACACTCAGTGGTGCTCAGAAATTACTTCCAGCTCTGTACTCAGGGGAAAGTGAAGAAATTAAAGAAGGGACTGGTACTAATGGACTGTGGTGATGGAATATTGGTTCTTTGGTGATAATTTTAGTGTGCTGACACATTTTAAGGAAGCACAAAATTGTATGCTTAAAACACAGACATTTGGGTGGACTAGTGTTATCTCAATAAAATGTAAAAATTTAAAGAATTATGGCTAGACTTAATCTCCCCCAAGTTATTTAGGTCAATGCTTGATTCAGAATCTGTTTGAGTCAGAGAGATAGTAGGATTTAGATGTATGTCTTGTATGTGGCCAACTCCAGTTTGGTTCCCAACATTGCAAGTTCCCCAAGTATCACTGAAAGTGATCCCTGATAACAAATCCAAAAATAGTACCCCAAACACTGCTGAGTATAGACCAATGACTTTCCTCAAATATCTTTTATTGCTCCCCCCAAAATCAAATGTCTATGTAATGACATAGAATCACATCAGCAAGGCTATTGTCCCTTGCATATACCTGGTTTCTGTGCATTCCCTGACCCTGTGTCATGGTTTCGACACAGTCTGTCCTTTGAGCCCAGAGAACAGGGGACTAAGATGAGAGGAAACCCAACCTTGGGACTGACAACAAACATACCTTATTACTGGATAATTTACATGTAAAGGAGGGAAATGTTTGGGTTTTGTAAAAAAAAATAGTAAAAAACAGAGAAACGAATGAAAATGTAATTTTCTTGGAAAGACAAGTTCTGATAAGGATGACAGCTATATGGTAGTATAAACAAGTACATGAGCATAAGTGGAAGTGAAGGTACCGAGAATGTATGTGAGATGGACTCAAGCTGCAGGAATAGCCCTAACCAAACAAGCAATGAGAAAAAGGGGAAAAAAACTATTTATATAAAATCAAAGCAAAGTAAAAAGTGAGAAGTGGTTTCCACTGTGATCAGTAAAGGCAAAAGTAGATAAGAAAGCAGAAGCTGTTTCCATAGTTTAGTGCTGACTAAAGCAACTACAAAGTTCTTTCCTAAACATGCATTTGGAACTTGAGTGTACAACTTCTACAGGCTGAAATAGAGGGTTGGCAGGCTTTTATGCAATTATGACCCTTAAACGTAGAGTGCAGGAGTGGGGAGGCAACTTGCCTTGCACACAACTTACATGGGTTCTATCTCCTCTGGTACCCCAGAGCCTGGCTAAGAGTGATCCCAGAGCCCAGAGGTAGGAGTAAGCCCTGTATACCACCAGTGGTGACTCCCAAACCAAATATATATATATATATAAAGACTAAAAATCGGATTCAATTCGATATATATATGTATATATATGTATATATATACATATATATGTATATATATATATATATATGATGCTGGGAATCGAATCCGATTTTTAGTCTTTCAACTCTAACTTTGAGAGCTTGTTTGTAGGTTCTAGCAGGGGAGCACAGCTACTCATATACCCTTGACTCTTGACCGAAGACCAGTAGTCTGTATTCAGGGAAGGCCGTCCTCTTCCACCGAGTGCACAGCTTTGGGAGGGACGCACATGGAGTGGTGAGGGAGGAAAGGGACACCCGCCTAGCCAGCCAGATCAGCCAAATCAACCCTGGTGATCAATGGGGTGACAGATGCTGCAGCCAGATCGCCCTCACATCATTCTTACTTTGGACAACCTGGCAGGCTACCGAATGTAACCTGTCCACACAGCAGAGTCTGGCAAACTCCCCATGGCGTACCCAATATGCCAAATACCAGTAATAATATGGGTCTCATTCTCCTAACCCTGAAAGAGCCTTGAATATGGCACTTTTTAAAATCTCAGGACTAGGATGAAGGAGACATTACTGGTGCCTGCTCAAGGCAATCGATGAATAACAGGATGATCATGATTGTGATCCTGATATATACATGTACTTGACATTTATATATACATATATATATACATATATATGTTTCATATATATATATATAAATGTTAAGTACAGGGGCTGGCTGCGTGGATCAGTGGTAAGGCACTAGCACATGGGAAGCCCTGGGTTTTAATCCCCAGCATGCTACACCATACATATGTACACTCACACATACACACATATACTGACAACTTAGGTACAAACTGACCTCTTCCATTTCAAAGGAATCTGGTGCATTGCGTGCACGACAAAATAGATTCTTGAGCTTGTTGGCATGAACTGAGTTTTCCTTCTGGTTTCTGTCCTTTATGAATCTCTCAGACACACAGGAAGGGGAGGTCTGTTTGGCTGACATGGATGGGTGATGCCTCTGCTTGCTTGGAAGAGCACAAGGAATATGACAAAGATCAGAGTCATCATGGACTTGGAGGAACAGAGACTCCACTGAAAAAGACAAATTCCTTTGGTCACAGTGGTTTGCTGTTGCTGCTAAGCTCACTCCACACTCGGCTGGCTCTGCAGAGGTGAGGGAAAATCTCTCCCTTACATCTGATGCTTCTGATGTTTCTATATTACACCCCCTCCTGATGCTCTGCTCATAAGACCTCCTGTAATGTTTATTCATTCTTCTTTGATGCTCTTTTGCCCGATTCACTGAAGTCTTTTGCACACTCTTTTGTCCATATTTATCTTCTGTTTCATTCTGTAGGTCATTAACATCGTTCAACAAAGATGAGAATGCATTGGCCACATGGTCCAGGATCCGAAGCTGTTGGAAACGACCTAAAAATCACAAAGAACACACAGCTTTCAGGTTTCTTCCAGTCTCTCCTATAAAATTGAATTAATAGAGTCAAAACTGAAAAGAATAATTAACACATGAGATTTCAAAATGGGAAAAACTGTCCTGTGGAAACTCAGATTTTCTTGACACATGCTATTGTTTGTCATGGAACTGATTACCCTACAAAGAGGTTATTGGAAAGCAAATATCAATTTTTCCCCTCTTGTGGAACTCCAAAGCATTTCCACTGAACATTTTTGTTAGCCAGAATGCTGTAATCACAAAAGTAAGTAAATTAATTTTTATGGAAAAAAATTGTGTTCCCAGAACACCCCCTGCCCAAATACACCACCAAATTATACCCCATCACTACACACACACTTGCCCTGTAATAACCTTATGATAAAATAAAGCAGGAATGTTGAAGTGTACAGGCTGTAAGTGAATTGCCTCTAAACTAGTAAGGTATAGCAAATCTTTGATGTTGCTTTTTTTTTTGACCTTTTGATGTAAATGCAAAAAAAACCTCTTCAGATTTACTTTGGTTGATAAAAATACAGTAAGCTCTCACTTGATGTCAATAATGGTTTCTTGTAAACTTCAACTTCAAGTGAAAGTATGTATAATTAAAACTTATATCCTTTATTTAACATTGTTTCATTCAACATTAATCAGGATTCTTCCCCTGTTACTCCCACCTCCACATTATTGCAATAAATCACACTGAGTTAAACTGTAATTTGAGGCTCTTCTGTGCTAACTTAGGTCCTTAGAAAAACTCAAGTAGCATAATTCTAACTTTTAAAAGTGTATATATAAATTATACATTTATAATTAGCTGAAAATATACAGCTATCTAAATAAAACTATATAAATAAAATGTATGTGTACATTTTTATGCATTAACATATCAGTATAGGTAAATCTGAAGTTTTAAGTTATAAATTGAATGACATGTAAAAGAGTGAACCTAAAAAAAAACTGAACTTATTTTTTTAATATGAGGTTATTCTGAATATTTCTCCACAGTTTTAGGCTAGATACATCATTCAGTCCTATTAACTCCTTTTAGATTGTCCCTTAAAGAGTGCAAAGATCATGACAAATGGAGTCAGAATGCCTGATTCAATTACTGAAATTGTGGTCACAAAGTATTTGAAGAATGAATAGATACATGGTGTTTAGGCCTGTTTGAGTCACAGATCAGCTTCTTCTTCTGAAGATTAAGGTAATAATATCTGTTTTGTTTATCTCTCATATCTGTTGTGAAAGCACTGTTTAAAAAACATCAATTAACAATTCAAATGTGTAAGATTCAGGAAAAGAATAGATTTTCCTCAGTTTTCTAAGATGGTCATCAATGTGAAAACTTAAAACTTAAAAATCATTCACTTAAAAAATCAGTTTGTCAACTTCTAAGTCTGTGGATAACCTGGCATTAATTATTTAGACAATATGCAAGTACTGGTTCATTAAATTATGTTTGTGGAAACCTAAGACAGCAAAAACTAGTATGGGAACTCATTGCCACTTTGAAAAAAATTATAAAAATATTTTTTGTATTTTCATGCAATACAACCATGGCAACAGAGTATTCTGTTTTATTTTGTTTGCCCAGGATGACATGCAGAGTATCAGAAATCAATAATAGTCAAGGACTGCATTCTGACTATCATTTGCACCAAAGTAGCAATACCACTAAGTTTTTGAAGAGCTTGTCTTTGTGCCTACCTGCTTTCTTGTCCTGAAAGGGAGAAGACACATACTATTACGCCTTCCAAAAATGTGATGCATAAGACATATTCTTTCAAAGTCTAGAGGAATTCATATACTGAGTTGTAGGATAACATTAGGTTTATCCTTTCAGCATTGTTGCAGGGAACTTAGTTACATAACCTTAAAGCAATGTCCTTTCTGTATGCACATAGAAAGACAGTTAATATTATGCTTTGTAACTTGGGAGTTGATTGACTTCAATAATATTTACTCCTGGGCATCTGCTATCTCAACTCAGTTGCCCTTAGTTCCTAGCACCCCAAAAGCAGAGTCCCAACGAGGGACTGAATGGACCCAGGGCAAGCTGTGAACTACCCTGGCATCAAAATGGGCTAGGCCAAAGCACCACAATACTCAACTATAAATTGAGAGCATGATCACAGACAAATGGTGTCATGATCCAAAAGTAATGACGAGACTAGGACCCTGCTGGGGTTTGGAAGACTAACCTGGCCTGAGGACTGTGTTCTGGAATATATAGTAAGATGTCCTCAGGAAGAACCAAACTTTAAGTTTGATATATATCTTACTGTGCTCATACAGAATGACATTGCTAGAAATATTAGAAGTAAAATTTACTGTAACTAATTAAATGGATTACTAGCTGAGGAAAGAAGAAAGCGACACACCCTGGATGGGATCCTGCCCTTAATCGGATCTCCTAGTAATCCGGAGTAATCTCTTTAGATTACTTTTATGGAGCGATAGCACAGCGGGTAGGGCGTTCGCCTTACACGCGGCCAACATGGCCGACCCGAGTTCGATTCCTCCACCCTTCTCGGAGAGCCCGGCAAGCTACCGAGAGTATTCGATATGCCAGACACAGTAACAACAAAGTCTCCAATGGAGACGTTACTGGGCCCGCTCGAGCAAATCGACGATCAACGGGAGGGCCTTTACCTTTTACCTTTACTTTTATCTTTGTGTTACCTCCTGGAGGAGCAGTTTTACCCTTCTTTGATATGTTAATGTTCAACCTACCTTTGTGTCACCACCCTATGTGATTACTATATAAACTAATATACATATATATACATACATACATATATATACATATATATGCATGTGTCTGTTGGTCTGGAGCAATAGCACAGTGTGTAGGGCGTTTGCCTTGCATGAAGCTGACCCGGATTCAATTCCCAGCATCCCATATGGTTCCCTGAGCATCACCAAAAGTAATTCCTGAGTGCATGAGCCAGGAGTAACCCCTGTGCATTGCTGGGTGTGACCCAAGAAAAAGCAATATATATATATATATATATATATATATATTAAAATAAACTAAGACTGTAATAGTGGAGGGGGTCAGAGTCAGAAGTGAGAGCAGTCAGACTCCAGAAGTCAAGGTCGGGCTCCAGAAATCAGGGTCAGGATCAGGAAAGAAGCAGAGAGTGAAAGAAGGGGGCAGTCAGAAACCAGAGTGAAGGGCTCCAGAGAGAGAAGCAGAAGTGTTCCAGAGAAAGAGAGATTGGAAGAGACCAGAGGAGAGACTACAGAGACAGAGTCAAAAATAGAAAGACAGAAGATAGCACAGTGGCATATATAGAAGCAGAGCACAAAGGAGGAGCCATCCCGATCTCATCCAAACACAGTGGATCCAGAGCACTGAACATGGGCAGCAAGAAAGAGCCATCCAGAGAGCCCACTGACAACTCACATCTTCCCATCCCTCTGCATGTGTGAATTGTATTTTTTGTACTGGATATTTAGGGGAAGCATTCTTATTCCGTTTCCCTTCTACATTCATCTTTAGTTGAAACCGAATCTCTTTTGTGAGCCTGAGGTTACAACTGAATCATAATTCTGTTTTTATGATCGTCTAAATATACACCCCATAGCATAATTTTATACTTAGACTAAGACAAAGCCTATCAATTTAATTGGTTCAGTCAGTTTAGAGAACACAGTAGTCTGAAGTGGATTATTTTTTGCCGTTGGGTAGACTGAACAATGAACCAATTGATTTTCATACCCCCGAGTTGAACCTCTTATATTGAATTTAAATGAGACATACTTTCATTATGCCTTTAGTAGATCAACTAATTTTATTATTGCTTGTTTTACATGTGACCTTCTCATCTTTCATGAATCAAAAGTGTCTTGGTAAGGGTTGAGTGTGAATAGCTACAATGTACTATCCAAAGTGTTCAATAGATGAGACAAGAATGGGCCAATAAGAACAGGACCAAGGGCCAACTCCTGAATCCCCTACAAAGCATGTGTCAACTTTATCTGGAAAATGTTTACTTCATAGATCAGAGAAGTAATTTACACATATCAGAGAAGTAAATACTTTTCAAATATTGTTAATTCTTATTATTCTTCCCAAATAAAGAATTGATTGATGCACTTGAATCTCTGCGTGGCTTGGAGAAAGAGAGAGCAAAGAATACTGATTTCTTCCAAAGAGTAAAGACATGTCACATTTTAATATCATCAGGTTTGCATGCTCTTTAAAAAAATTTTCATTGCTAAGAATTATTTAGACCCATTTCACCCACAGGAAAGCGGGAGCAACAAATTCTAATAAAAAAATCTAAGTGAAGCCTCTGTTTCAAATTTTTGCTTGAGAAAAACACCTCACCTCACTTGGTCTTCCTGGCAAAGGTTTTTTTTTTATTTAAAAAAACTCATTACAGAAATAGGATTTTTGCATTTCTCCCAGTGGAGACATTTACAATCTCTTTCCCACAAAAGATATTTCTTAAAGCTCCTCTAAGAGTGTTCTGCATTAAAACAATTCTTAGAGACAGAATATGTCTACCTATGAAGCAGATTTTGAAGTAAGCAAAACTGATAGTCTTAAAAGCATCTTTCCCCTAAATCATTTGAACTCAGCATATATACCCCCAAGAACATCCTTAGTAATATTATGAGAAAATATCTATTCACCACTAATTTGGGGGAAAATAGCAGCATGCATGGAAACAAAACGTTTAAGGCATAGTTAAGTCACAGACATGCGTGATTAATAACTGCCACTTATAGCTCCTGGTCCAGAAAGAAGGGGGTAAGTCTTGCAGTTGAGGAGATGAAGGTTTCACTTAGTAACTTATAATAAACCTTGTGAGATGCTACTTTCTTTATCTCCTAGCTTAGGTGTATGTTAACACTGCTCACCAGAATTATCAGCTCTTTCTTCTTGGTATATTGGTTAGACTACACATTTTGACCTCTTTGCAGTTCAATGGCACCACGTGAACTTTTGGTCAGAGAATTCTGAGCAGAGAAGATATGTGTAAATCACGAGCAGGAGGATTTAAAAGATGATTTTGTTTGTTTGTTTGTTTCCCTATTATTAAACCAGGGATGGTCCAAATGACGATGTCCTGAGTAAGGATAATGTGAAGTGGATTCCTTCTTCCCTAAACATGTATAGCCACTAGCAGTGGCAGTGAATGATCAACTGGCAGTAGAATGATTAACGTGAACTTTTCTGCTTGATGGCCTTCTGAGGGAGAGACTGATTTTTATCTCCCTCCAAATACGGTAGATCCCCTTGATAGCTCACTGTCATGCAGAAATTTGAATGAACAAGGGACTCACTTACCGTACAAGTTAGGATTCTCAATGTCCATTCGCTGCTTCTGAGCCTCGAGAAAAACACGGATATTGATTCCTCTGGCTGCTGAGCTACAATGCAGGAACCTGGCTGGGATTTGTGTACAGATGTCTGGCTCATCGGCACCAAATCCCAGATCCAAGAGAATCTCCACTGGATCTTTTTCCCAAAATTCCAGCAATTCAGGAATGCTGTGGTAAAAACAGGAATAACTTTTTTCAGTTAATAGCTCACTTGACCAAAAGTAATTTATTTTCAAGATTCCCTCAAATCCCAATTTTTGCACAAGTTGAGTGGAAGAAGAATGAATAAGCTAACAGATGGCACAGTTACTAGTCTCATATACACTTACTTAAAGGCCAGTCAGTCACCCCCACTCAGGGACTGCTTGCCTGTAGTTCACATGCAATATCAATGATTTGACTTACCAGGCTTTCCATTTCATAATAAGTAAATGCTCAATTAGATGGGGAAGGGAGAGTGTGTAACAGAAGCCAGTAGTAGTGTAGTGACAGCCACAAAGAAATAGATATTCATGTTAAGAGATGAAACAGGAAAAACAAACAAACAACGGATTTCAAGCATATTTTGAGGATGTCAGGCTCTGACATCCATAGGTCGGCAAGCCTGTTGAATATATCATAAAATTCAGACCATAATCTGACATTTACAAATAATGATGTAAAGTCCCTAGAAGGATTAAAATTTGTTTTCTATTTTCATCCTTGTGGTGGGACTTGACTGAAAAAGTCCTGAAAAAGAAGTGCTTTTTAACAAATTGTCTTATTCTGCTTTGGTGCTGTTACCAATCAGTTATCTGGAAACTTTACTTAGATATGACAATGCATATCCTAATTAGTGAACTTCCCTGAGACATACATGGACCTTCTGAAACTCTTGGACTCTATCAGAATGAGCGCTTTTTAAATTTTCTTATGTTCATTTCTTATGTTTATTTATTCCTTATGCTTATGTATTTATGTTCATTTGTTAAAGTTTTTGTTTGACTTTATATACAATACTAAGGACCTTCTTGAAGATTGTCTCATTATTCCACCATTTAAATTAGACTCATTACAATTCTTTCATTTGGACATTTACATTTAATTATATCCAAATAGAAGCACAATGTTCTGTCTCCTGATTCATCAATAGGTAAGCTATGAAAACTTCCTATGTGCCTCAAATGATGCCATTTAATATATTAATCAAAAGACTGGAAGTATGGAGCTGCCAATGACTTGATATTTCAACATATGAGACATAAATAATGTACAGAAGAAAACAATTCTTGTAACAATACATTTATTTTTAAGTGAAAAATTGGACATATTTTGTTATTAAATCCATTATACAAATTTCATCTTCCTTTATACAAATATTTATTGAATATTTTGCCATATTCTTGCTCTCAACTAGGTACCTGATGGATTGGTTAATCCCAAATGATCAGAACAGGCAAAGATGTGCCATATTAGCAAGTGGATTATTCTGAGTTCAACTCAAGTCCTGTAGGCTCATGAGAAACTTCTATGTCTCCCTTAATTAACTAGAAGAATGAAAATTCACAAACCATTATTCATTTCTGTACTAAAAACAATAGGTAGGCTATGAAATCACCCTAGGTTTCAAAGATAGATGAGTGGAAAATGACTACCTTACCTATACACACAACAGAATACTAAGTGGCTGCAAGGAAGGATGAAATCATGAAAATCTGGGCAACTTGGATGGAACTAAAGGATATCATGTTAAGTAAAGTCAGAAGAAACACAAATGCCAGATGATATAACTTATCAATGATATGTACAATAACAAGACCAGGGAATGCAAAGGATCAAAGTGGGAACAGGTAGATTACCCTAATCCTTAGGTTATAGAACTGAGAGGAAATGGGAGGAAAGAAACCAAAAGGGGAAAGTTAGATGAGATAGAAGCAGTGAGTCTTGAACATATTTGCCTTGTAAGGTTGTAGTCTATCTATCTATCTATATATCTATCTATCTATCTATCTATCTATCTATCATCTATCTATCTTTCTATCTATAGGAAGCACAAAACAATTTAAACTAAAATCATGAAAGCTAGACTATAACAAAACTTTAAAAATGTGCCTGCCAAGGAAGCAGGCTTGAGAGTGAAAGAGATACTGGGGAAATTGGTGCAGGAAGTTAACACTGATGATGAGATTAAAGGTAAAGGTAAAGGCCCTCCCGTTGATCATCGATTTGCTCGAGCGGGCCCAGTAACGTCTCCATTGGAGACTTTGTTGTTACTGTGTCTGGTATATCGAATACGTCACGGGGAGCTTGCCAGGCTCTGCCGTGCGGGCGAGATACTCTCGGTAGCTTGCCGGGCTCTCCGAGAGGGGTGGAGGAATCGAACTCGGGTCGGCCATGTTGGCTGCATGCAAGGCAAACGCCCTACCGTTGTGCTAGATGATGAGATTGGTGTTGAAAAATTGTACAATTTACTGTGAATAACTTTGTAAATTACAGTGCTGATATAAAATATTTTTTTAAAGAATTAAAATTCAGGGCAGAGTTTTCAGACAGCGTGTGAAGAGCTGAGCCAGTGTTTTGATGAGTACTGATGGCAGATTCTTCAGGTGTTCGGTTCTGACTTTGTCTGGGCTGGGTGCTGTTTGCTTCTTACCAACGAAATGGTGTGTTGATTTCAGAAGGGAGAACATTGGGAATGACATATCCATCCTGTGGAATTTTGTATGTGGGCAGGTGGACGTGGCTATCGAAGAGATCCAAGTAGAAGTCGTGGATAATCTTCTCCTTCTGGAAGATGTGATAGATCCATCAGGATGTCGGAGGGCAGTAATCTTGGTCTTGTACTTGGCAAAGGACAGGTGAGGGTTCTGAATAATTTTCCTTGCTTCTGCTGCATAGGCCAGCACTGCAGCTCTTTTCTTTGAGGTCTTCCTTTATCACTTCTCTACACTGCTTTGCGAGCTCAGACATTAGCTTGTGGTTGCCTGAGGCTCATTCCAACCCACGTTGGTGAATAAGCTCGAGAGTTTCTGAAGATAGGCATCTTTTGTGGATTTCTCTCTCTCAGCATTGCTCGCACAATCATGGAGGTGCTGAACCAGTCAACTGTATTTGTCACACTCTACCTATCTGAATGCAAGGTTCTGTACCAATGGAAAACCAGCAGGACTGTACTACTGTACAAGAAGGGAGACGTCCATGACATTGGCAACTATCACCTGATCTGCCTGTTGTTCATCTACAAGCTGTTCACTTAAGTCATCCTGAATAGGATTGGCATAACACTAGATGAAGGACAATCATGTGAGCAAGCCAGGTTCCGAAAAGGATTCAGCACAATTGACCATATCCAAACGATAACCAAGCTCATTGAGATTTCTCGGGAGTTCAAGATTCCACTCTAACACACATAGATTTAAAGAAGGTCTTTGATTCTGTTGAGACTGAAGTGGTCAACGAAGCCCTAGCCAAACAACGTATTCAAACTCAATACATAAGGATCCTCCATGAGCTGTACTATGGATTCACCACCAGGATCTCACCATTCTACAGGGAAGTGATCATCGACATCAAGAGAGGGGTTCGGCAGGACAATGCCATCTCACCAAAACTCATCAGTGCCACCCTCGTGAACAACATGTGATGACTGGAATGAGAAGGAATGGGATTGAAGATAGATGGTCGATAACTACACCACCTCTGCTACACAAATGACATCGTTCTAACAACACCAAACATTAGCCAAGTGGTAAAAATGCTGGCCGACTTCGAGCATGAGTGTGGAAAGGTCGGACTGCAGCTGAATCTCACGAAGACAGTGTTCATGAAAAACAAACTCATTCCTAACATTCCATTTGCTCTCAACAGAACAAACATCTCCAAATGCAGCAGTTATCTGTACCTAGATCGAGAAGTCAACATGATGAATGACCTGGCACCTGAGCTGCACGGGAGGAAGAGAGCAGCATGGAATGCCTTCAAGAGTGTTGAAGAAATAGCTAAGAGGACGAAGAACCTCCAGCTCTGAGCACATCTTATTCACTCCACCGTTCTCCCTGCACTAACATAGGCCTCAGAGATCTGGGTCCTATGAAAACAGGATGAGAACGCTCTTTGGGTCATTCAAAAAGTAATCGAAAGAGCTATGCTTGACTATACTTTTTTGCCTCTCCCGGATATATTCCCAGGAGTAGTATTGCTAGGTCAAATGGGAGCTGAATTTCTAATTTTTTGAGAATCGTCCATAGTGTTTTCCAAAGAGGCTGAACCAGTCAGCATTCCCACCAGCAGTGAAGGAGAGTCTCTTTCTCCCCACATTTATGCAACACAATAGCCAAAATCTGGGGGGAAAAAAAACGAGTGCCCGAGAACACATGACTGGTTAAAGAACTTTGGTACATCTACACAACGGAGTACTATGCAGCTGTTAGAAAAGATGAAGTCATGAAATTTACATACAAGTGGTACTACATGGAAAGTATCATGTGAAATGATATAGACATATATAATGACAGACACAGAATGATTGCATTCATTTGTGGAATATAAAGTAACGAAATAAGAGACTAACACCCAAGAATAATTGAGATAAATAGCAGGAGGTTCACTCCATAGCTTGGAGGCCAGTCCCACATGGTAGGGGGAACGGCAGCTCAGATAGAGACGGGAGCACTTAGTAAAGGGTGTTGGGAGGATCCTTCCAGGATGGGAGATGCATGCTGAAAGTAGACTATAGACTGAACATGATTGCCACTCAATGTCTCTTTTGCAAACCACAGCACCCAAAAGGAGAAAGAGAACAAAAGGGAATGCCCTGCCACAGAGGCGGTGTGGGATGGGGGGGGGGGGGACACAAGGTGGTGAGTGGGTACTGGGATCAGTGGTGGTGGAGAATGGGCACTGGTGGAGGGATGGATACTCGATCATTGTATAACTGAAACCCAAGCACAAAAATTTGTAAGTCTACAACTGTACCTCATGGTGTTTCACTAACAAAAATTTTTAAAAAGGTAATAGCCCTTATGAATAGACATAAAAGCTAATAACCTTGATGAATTTAGACATACAAATTATATTCACAAATTGTGAATTATAAAACCACAATTTAAAGCATAGCAAGAACATCATATGTGAGGCTGAAGAGATAGATGCCTTTAGCATCAATGTCATGTAGCATTCTACCTATATTTTCCTCCATGTACCTTATGTACTTGGGTCTAATATTGAGATCTTCAATTCATTTTGATCTGACTTTTTTCCTGGCATTAGAAAGAGGTTTGAGTTCATTTTTTGCATGTAGCTGTATAGTTTTCCCAGCACCACTTGTTGAAGAGGCTTTCCTAGTTCCACTTCATATTTCTTGCTCCTTTATCAAAGATTACATGATCATATATTTGAGGTTCTGTGTCAGGAAATTCAGCTCTATTCCATTGTTCTATATGTCTTAAGTTCTTACCATGCTGTTTTAATTACTACTGCTTTGTATTACAGTTGGGGAAGGTGATGCTTCTCATCTTCTTTTTCCTAAGGATTGCTTTAGTTATTTATGGGGACTTATTGTTCTATAAGAATTTCAGAAATTTCAGATCTATTTTTTTAAAAAAATCTCATAGTATCTTTATAGGGACCACATTTGAACCTGTATAATGCTTTGGGGGAGTATTGCAATTTTGACAATGTTAATTCTCCCAGTCTATGAGAAAGATATGCATCTTCAGTTCCTCATATCCACTTCTATTTCTTGAAGTAGGTTTTGCAGTTTTCTTTGCGTAGTTCCTTCACCTAGTTAATTAAGCTGCATCTGAGGTATTTGACTTTTTTGAGGCACAATTGTGAATGGGATTGTTTTTCTAGTACCTCTCTTGTCTTTTGTTATTTGTATATATAAAATTCATGGACTTAGGGGTATTGAATTTGTATCCTGCCATCTTACTATACAAACCTATTGTTTCTAGCAGCATTTTGTAGTTTTCTTAGGATTTTCTAAGTATAGTATCATGTCATTGGCAAATAGTGATAGCTTGGCTTCTTCCTTTACTATCTGGATGCCCTTTACATCTTTTTCTTGCCTAACTGCTATGGCAAGTAATTTCAGTATTATACTGAATAGAAGAGGTGAGAGTGGGCAGCCTTGTCTTGTCCTTGACCTCAGAGGGAAGACTTTTAGTTTTTCCCTATTGTGGATACTGCTTGCTGTGGGCTTCTGATAGATGGCTTAGACTATGTTGAGGAAAGTTCCTTCAACTTCCATTTTGTTGAGAGATTTTATCATAAATGGGTGCTGGATCTTGTCAAATGCTTTCTCTGGGTCTATTGACATGATCATATGGTTTTATCTTTTCTTTTATTGATATGGTGTATTATATTGATGGACTTGTGAATGTTAAACCATCCTTACATCCCCAGGATGACTCTTACTTGGTCATGGTGTATAATCTTTTTGATGATTTGTTGTACTCTATTTGCTAGTATTTTGTTGCAGATCTTTGCATCTGTGTTTATCAGCCTGTAATTATCTTTTCCTGTGGTGTCTCTGTCTGCTTTTGGTACCAGAGGAGTTATCCTGTTTTTATTATGTGTATTCTCTCTTTAATCTCGGAAGCCCCAGCAGCCCCTTTACTTCAATTTACTTCATCTGCTTTAGAATCTACATATATAGTCTCCCTACATATGCAATTAAATTTATTCTTTACCTCTTCTAATCTGTTTTATTTTAATTTGATTGCTCTATCAGCTGTAGAATTGCCCAGAGGAGTAGGAGGAGTTTCCTCTGTGCCCCTGCAATGCAGTGGCATACACAGACACAAAGACATAACCTGCCTTCCACAGGCTCACAGTCTCATGTCCAGGGATATTCCATCTGCCATTAAACATTTTCAGTAGCATTAACTCTTTTATTCACATTCAATTGTGTAAGAAAACACATAAAAATCTGTTCTAGACTCTCTTAACCCCTCAGTATCTTTGCAAAGCTATTCCCATTCCTGCTAAATTGATGTGTATGCTCATAGACACTTTTTCTATAGTTGAATATATGCTGTGATTCTCATTTGTTTATTTATAAATAGCATCACATACCATGTATTTTTGCATCTTTCTCCCCCTCCCCTTAAACATATGACTTGAATATTATTATGAGCTAGTGTGTATATTTTTACCTATTCCTTTTATTGCTGTAAACAATTTCATACCATGGAAAGGGCATTAGTTTATTTGGATATTTAGTTCAATTTCAATGACTGTTTCATATTATTCATGTGATCTGGAGTTTAGAAATCCTTTATTCATTCTCTCATCCATCCATTCAACAAGTATTTCCCAAGTGCCTATTTGTAATTTCATGAAATCCATTGTTGCACAGAATGATTTCTCTAGATGACAAGTGACTGGAAATCACATACCTTTGTGGTATACTTGTAGCAGAATGGCAAGAGTTGAAACTGGTCCCTCTGGATAGGGTGGGAGTTTCTGAAAACTGATGCAGAGATCTACAGTTGGGAGGAAAATACCAATGATGAGATGTGTTGGTTTATGTGTTCTCCTGGGAGATCACTGTGACTCTTTCCCTTCCAGAGCAAACATTTGCATTTTCTCTTTATTTCTAATCATCCCACAATGGCTACACCTTTGAAGGAGAGAGTGTGCATCAGAGGAGCTGCTTGTCTTTTCAAGGACCTTGTGTTACAGAAGGTGTGAGAATTTAAGTGTTAGGTACCCGCTAGTGCTCATTATAAAGGTGACAGAATGTCTCACTTTTGACAGATGGCAAATCATTGGGGAACCTTTCAGGAGCACAGTTTAGCTAGGCATCAACTTTCAGGAAGAAGTAAAATAATGTAGGAAAAGAGATACCGCAAGGAACCACTGAAGCGACTACACATTAATCCTCCTAATGGTGGAAGATTTCATATCGCATGGTTACCAGTCTCTAACTGTTGTCTCCAAGGCTCCTGGAACCATTCATATGCAATAGTAACAAACCTCTTCTATTGCAAAGAAAATGAGTCTCTCTCCTACTAGGCCTTCATTGCAAGTGATTTGAAAGAACTTCTAAACTGAATGAAACCCTGTCACATACAGATAAACTCAGATATACCAGAAATGCATCCAATCTTATCCAAGACAGTAGTAGCCATAAAACCAAGTTATTTTATTAGGACAGAGAAATTTGCCATATTTTCTGCAGCATTTAATAAGGATAACTGGACATGGACTCCTCTGTGGTTTTTTCTTATTTATTTTTGGTTTGTTTGGGGGCCACACCCATTAGTGATCAGGGTTTACTCCTGGCTCTATGCTCAGGGATCTCACTTGGCCGGCTTAAGGTAACCATATTGGGTGCTGGGAATTGAACCCTGGTAGGCCACATACAAGGCAAGGCGAGTGCTCTCCCCTCTGTATTATTGCTCCAGCCCCCTGAGTCTTCTTTGTTCAACTGCTTTGGTTATCTACTTTGAGGCAGAGAGTGTAGATTTCTCAATACAAAGACTGAATTTAACAAACAATTGATCTTGACTTGAAAACAGAAGATATGCTTTTTCTTACTCTTCTTAGGTCTGCTTATGTTTGTTTTGCTCTGGATTTGAAGACTAGACTTTATTTTATACTGTTAAGTGGAGAAGCTGTGGTGTTTATACAGTATTGTCCTGGTCTTGGATTCAGGAAACCTCACAAACAGGCATAGTTTTCACAGAACCATGCAAATCTTAATATTGGCTCTCATTCATTCTTCTCTTTGATGTAACAAGAATTGCCAACGAGATCTCTATGGTCTCTTTGAGTTCCACAAACAACTGATTCCTTAAGAGATAAGAACTGTGACAAACACATATTTTGTGTCTGAATTGACAGAGTCTGAGGCATACAGTGTTGTATATTTGGTTTTAAATAGTTGGGATTCTCTTAAAATTCGAGGATGACTGAAGCACAGGAAAAAGATTATTTTTATAATCTAAAAGTACATAATAACTCTAGAGTGTATTTTAGACCATAATGGGTTGAAAAATACCCCCCCACAAATTTCTGAGCCCTACCTTAGAATGTTTTGATTCATCCTTGCAATTCTATTAAGTTTCCAGGGAATAATTATGCTGCCCTTAGGAGTATTGGAGACTGAGTCTATCCTCCCATGAAGGGACTCTCACTACTTTCTACCTAACATCAAAAAAATCTATGTATGATTATCCAGTGAGTAAAATTCTGATAAATACTACCAGCCCAACTAAAACATCACTGAAACTACTTTATGAATAGGTGCTTATTAGCAGTTCGATTATAGTAGCCTTCCTTTTATGTATGTATTTTAACTAAATCCTCCTCTCCAAGTCAGCATTTGTTGGTTTTATTACTTACTCTTTATATTTGAAAAACATCAATTTTTCTCAAGGCTAGTAAAAACTTTCTAGGCACTTAGACTAAACCAGATTAGTTTAAAACCAAATAAGATTTCAAGATAGTACCATGGCATTATTAAGAAAGCTCTTAAATTTCATTTTATTTATGAAATACATGGCTATAACGTATTCAAACAGGTAACACTGCTTCTGCCACCTACCTCACGAAGTCTTTCACAGTCATCTGAACCATTCCTTGTTCATGTAAAGAAGCTGCAACAAAAAGGGGGGAGGAGTAAATAGAGATAAAGATGAATTCCCTTTCATCTCATGGAAGATGTTCTCATCCATAAATGAACTAACATGGAATGGATTTACATATCCGAAATTGTATAGGCATGAGGTACAAGGCATGTCTGTCATGAACAAGACAATATAATTAATAGCTAAATTGTATGACAATCACTTGAAGAAATATGGTACTTGCTCAGTGAGGAGGGAAATCAGAGGCAAATGAAGTAGTCAGCAAAGTCTAAGTGGAGAAAATAGTACTGTCTCAGATTTTTAAGGAAGGGGAGGACTTGATGGATGAGAAAGAGATGCTGTCATAAAAGAATAGTGTCTATTACTAGGACAAAGCAAAGTAAGAGGGTAGTTTGAATGGATCAAAGAACATTTTGGAATACTTTCTCATGTGTAAAGTTGCACAAAATGTTGAAGAGCAAGGATGTGACTAACAAAAGAATATATGAGTTATAATACAGCAGATAGGGCACTTATCTTGCATATGGCTAAGCTGGGTTTGATCCCCACCACCGCATATGGTTCCCCACACACCATAAGGAGTGATCCCTGGGCACAGAGTCATGAGTAAGCTCCTAGCACCACCAGGTGCAGCCCCCAAATAAACAAATAAAAATACATGAGGGGCTTAGCATTTATTTAATATATTTCATTCATTTTTGTAATTACCAACTCTTATAGTTGTCCGGCTGGAGTGATAGCACAGTGGTAGGGTGTTTGCCTTGCACGCAGCCAACATGGCCAACCCAAGTTCGATTCCTCCGCCCCTCTCAGAGAGCCCGGCAAGCTACCGAGAGTATCTCGCCCGTACGGCAGAGCCTGGCAAGCTACCCATGATGTATTCGATATGCCAAACACAGTAACAACAAAGTCTCCAATGGAGACGTTACTGGGCCCGCTCAAGAAAATCAATGAACAACAGGAGGACAGTGACAGTGACAGTTTATAGTAGTCCAGTAAGGAACCAAGACTCACAGAAATTGTGTAAGACCCCAGGACCAGAGTCAAAAATAGCATGTCCAGGAAATTATTATGACCTTTTAATTTTTTACAGCCAAAATAGTTATGATTTATTTTGCTTTGTATGAGATAATGTGTTAAATACACATAGGAAAAGTATCTTTAAATTTTCACTAAAAAAAATCTAAGGACTGGCATTACTTCTCACTGGATAAAGGGAAGAAGAAGCTGAGGCAAATTTAATAAATTTGCCTCAAACAGGAGCATACCACCGAATATTTTATTTTATTGCCAATGCTCTTTTCCAAACATCACATTGCCAACAGAATTTCTTATAGCTTATTTGAAAGCCAGAAAGAGGTAGTTATATGTTTTTTTCAGGATATGGAAAACCATGGAAGATTTGGGGGCAAACAAGGATATGTGAAAAAGCTGATGATGGTCTATTTGCTTGAATAAGTGAAGATAAGCACAAAGTAGAAAAGAGAAATCTTGGAAGTCAAACAGGCCTATTAGGGGGACCTTTGTAGTATTCCAAGTGCTTATCATGGAGGAACACTGAAACAGAAGTCAGTAGAAAATATTTCACATGTGGACAAGCTCTTCATAAGGTTCACCAGTTTTGTCTTGCTTGTATGTCTCTTCTACTTGCCAAGGTGTGACATGTATAAAGTGGGAAGTGTTGCCACCAAAGGTTTCTGTTAGAACGTGAAATTTCTTACCATTAGAAAGATAATGCAGGTTGGAGGTTGTTTTAGAAAAATAAACCTGACTGATTGAAAGACATGGAGGAAATACTTGAAAGTAAGAAAGGCTTCTCCATTTGCACTACAGTTCTTGCACAGGTGATATCTCACAATATCTGTGGACTTGTCTTTGAATGTCAGATTGTGAGAAGACAGAAACACACATGATTTTTAATGATTTGGGCAAAGTTCCAGTGATCTAGATGAATGGGAAAAGAGAACAGATCTAAAAGATGTGGGGTCTATCTTTGAGATGTGAGAAATGGTGGATTCTCAGTGAAGTCCAGAATCCAAGACAACAATTTAAATAAGTAATGAGAAAACTGATACAATAAATATCTGGTTTACAAACTGGAATTTGTAAGAAAAATGGAATTTGTAGGCTTAATAGGATGGAAAATGCCTCTCTGTGAAAAGCAGAGTGTGGACATATATAGGTATATCGTGGAACAGTTTTCCCCTCAACAGTGTCCAGACACATTGTGCACCGGGTCCAGGCTGGCTGGGGCGAAGGATGATGGGCACTCAGAGAAACACCCTTTGGGAGCAGCTGATGGCTATGCACCTTATTGCCAGATATACACATTTTATAGAGGGTCTCTGTTTACAAGAAAGTTCAATCACATGAAGTTCAGCATTATAGGCCTATCACCTCTCCAACTCTGCTTTGCCCCAATCCAATCCCAATCAAGGCTAGATGCTGCAGTTAGCATGACTTGCTAAGCATAAGTGACAGTTCCTGTGTCTAGAGCTCATGTGACTAGGAGGTCAAGTGAGGCTCAAGACCGAACACCTGGTGCTGGCTGACACTCTGTTCTTGCCAACTTTGCCCAGATACTCCCTCTTGCTAGGTTTTGCTTCTGGGCCGCTTTGCAGTGTTGGGTCTTATCTGCACCAGTGTCTGTCACCATGCTTCACAAAGGTTCTTCAAAAAAACATTCCAGGGAGTCATTGAGGAGTATGGACTACATAAATTCTCATCATTATGGCACAAATGTGACCATTCTTAAATATCCTATGTGATACCTGATGACAAATACTTATGTACTTCATTAAATAGTATCAACTTAATCTTTTGCACCAAGGTAGAGAAGAAGTTAGAGCCAAACTTTGTCCACTATGTCAGAAGTTTTATCATTTTGCGTTTTAATGGAGAAATTCTTTTTCAAAAATCCTAATAATGAAACAGATTTAAAGGGACCTTTTAAGATAACATTTTGCCATCTAGCACTTTCTTTATCTTAGGAAGCACCTCTAGGATTCATTTAAAAACCATCTATGCAATACCAAATATCTTATCTAGGAAGGCATTGAACATTCCCACAATACTCTTGCTCAGTTAATAACCTCAGAGCTTCTAACACATAAAACCAATGTCAGTTGAAGTTCTCACAGAAGAGAACTCCTACCTGCCATTTTACTAGCATATCATAGATGCAATCACTGTGTGTGCACATGTGTGTTAGTATATGAATATATATTATATATGTCTTTGGACCATACATGACTCAGAAATCACTCATCACTGGGCTCAGGGGACCTTATATGGTGTTAGGGATTGAACTTGGTAGGCTGTATGCAAGACAAGAGCCCTTCCTGTTGTATATTGCTCTGGCTCTGCTATAATTTTTTAAGAGTTGTATTATAATTTTGATTCCATAATCAACTAAATAATAAACGTCTCAAATGAAAGAAAACATACTTATTATATTAGGTGAGATTTTCTTTTTTTCTGACTTCCTTACCTACTGTAAACCCCTGCAGCACTTGTTGACATGTAATTCACAAAGGTAAGGCCCAATGAGTTTTACTTAGGCCATCCAGAAAATTTGTGAGTGTTTGTTCTCTCCTCACTCCTCACTCACATCCATTGGTCCTAGGCCATTTGTTTTCAGAGTCTGCCAACCACTATTCTTTCTACTGCTGTAGAATGGTTTTCTGCTAGAATGCGGAATTTCCTGAAACATTGAAGAAATGTGTACTTTCAGGCCACAAGTGTGAGTCTGTGACCAAAGAATCTTGCTCAAAGTGTAAAAGATGAAATTAGGGGTTGGGGAGATAGTACAGTGGGTGGGGCACTGCCTTAGACGTGGCTGACCTGGGTTCAATACCTGGCATATGAGCCCCCAACCCCACCAAGAGTGATCTCTGAGTGCAGAACCAGGAATAAACCTTGAGCACAGCTGAAAGTGACCCAAAACGATAACTAAACAACCACCCCCAACAATAACAAAATTGTAAGAGACTGAGGAAATTGTGGATTTTCAAATATTAATGAGAAGAGTTTGCTCAGTTTTGCTAAGTTTTCAGATACTTTAACCCTCAGAAAGTCTTGTTATCTAGGACAATCCATAGTTCTTTACCCAGGGTGATTCTATAGAATTCTAATGTCTGCACAGATCTAGCAACCACAATCCAGAGGACCATAGTACAGCCATTGGTGTTTAGGAACATCTGGTTGCCAGGCAGGAAACTGAGGGCAATGCTGATTTGGGATTGTGCAAAGAGGAATGGACAAGAGCCCAGATTACAGTGCTGATGTTGGATGGTTTCCAGTCTGATGCTGTAGATTGGATACGACCGAAGAAATGGACTTCTTCTTTGACCTCCCAGCCCCCTGGAAGGCCTGACTATCACTGACAGGTAGAGAACAAGTACGCTCTCTGCCCCTCACACTTGAACCTCGTTTTCATTGTTATACAAACACTGTTTTGCACCCTTTCTAAGACTTCTTATATTCCATCTTCCAGATCTTGGAAATGGAGTGGAAGTGGCATCAATATTAATTTGCTTCATTTCATTTTTTTTGTTTATTTTTTTTTATCATTTTTTTTATTAGTGAAACACCATGAATTACATTTATAGACTTATAAATTTTTGTGCTTGGGTTTCAGTTATACAATGATCAAGTACCCATCCCTCCACCAGTGCCCATCCTCCCCCACCACGGGTCCTAGCATCCCTCCCACCCCACCCCACCCCCCCACCCCCCGTCCCACCCTGTCGCTGTGGCAGGGCATTCCCCCTTGTTCTCTCTCTCTTCTTTTGGGTACTGTGTTTTTCCAGAGAGGCATTGAGTGGCAATCATGTTTGGTCTATAGACTACTTTTAGCATGTCTCTCCCACCCTGGGAGGGTCTTCACAACACCCTTTATTTGGTGCTCTCTTCTCTATCTGAGCTTCCTTTTCACCTAGCACATGTGGCTGGCCTTCAAGTCATGGAGCAAAATTCCTGGTACTAATCTGAGCCATTCCTGGGTGTTA